TGCTCTCAGTGCTCTGGCCGCATGATTTCATACTTGTCTTCCATTTGTCTCCCATTTGTCTCCCACTTGTCTCCTAGTAAGCTCTGGATACTCTGTCCTGCTTGTGTTTGACAGGTCATTCTTGAGAGGTTGTCACAAAAATTTGTTATCCAAATGTGGTGGCGCCAATCATGTTACAGTGGGAACTGACATGAATGTTGGGGTTGCACTGACTTCTGCGACCCGGTGTATGGGCCTTTGAGTTTTTGCACATAGAAAGAGCCCTTTATCACAACAGATGCTTTTTGCATAATCGGAGCCTATTCCTCATGCACCACAAGCGGACGCAAACAACCCAGGCGACCAGTGACTTTCAGAAAGTTTTTGAACATTTTTACATCTTTGAACAGTCAGTGGATATGAACAAGCACTGCCAAAAAAAAGTTTAAACGAAATGGCCAAATCAATTTTTTTGCCCTTGCACACACGCAGTTGAAATCTGGAGCTAAATGAGGCTGGATTTGAAGCTTTTCAAAGAGCTCAGATTTGGTGGCAGCTTGCTTGGACGACCCGAAGATGAAGCCACCTAAGCCCTTCATAGTCTTGAAGGATTTTCCTTATTTCGCAGAGATCCTCGCAGATCCTCGTTTCGTTTTGAGTCACCACAAGCTTCTTTCGAGTTGCTTTGCATCGAAATACACTATTTTCACATATTTTCACCACAAGCGTTGCATTGCTCGATTTGCTGTTTAGGTTGGCAGCTACTTTCGCGCGGATGATCAACGAAGCAATCACACACTCTTACGTCAAGTGTTGCGACCTATGGCAAACACAGGTCAATGCAGTACATGGCTAAGCCAAAGAAGGCAACTGCGTAGGAAGGAAAAAGCCAAGCGCAGTGTCCGTGCTCTGAGGAAATCCTCATTTTGATTGGGTCTGCGCATTCGTGTTTACAAGTGGGGCAACATATGTCACAACCTGGATCCATAAATTTCATGTTTTAGCCCTTGTACGGCGTCCCATTGTAAAGTCAATGAAAAACAAAATTTTAATGCTTTCCCTTTGAATCTTGTATGTGCGTCTACATGGTGGACTATAGTTTTCTTCCTCTAGGAAATACTGCTGGCCATATTGTTCGGAGATCTCATTTTTGAACATTGCTCTGTTTGGGGTCTACGCTGGTATAATTTGTTTTTAATGATTACGGCAATCGACCCTGTGCAAGTTTAATTCATAATTACTGTAGATGCAGCGGCTACAGACACTCGTCTATGGCAAACGCAAGAAAAACAAGTTTGTTTGTTTGTTTGTTTGCTTGCTGTTTTGTTGTTGCGAACAGGCACCCCCCTCGCAGACTCGCAGGCACTACAGTCGATTCCAGTCGGAGGATGCAGAGAGCTCCGTGGGTTTCTTGGGGGGTGATGTACCTGGTCTTTTGAGTGATATACCTTTGGCTGCAGCTCTGTTAACCTCCACCTGGTGGAGAGCTCAAATTTTGAGCGATGCAGGCGAAAGACGGCTCTCCCAGTTGCAGGGCCCTTTGAAAGGACGCGATTTGGTCCTTTGGTGGCTGATGAAAGTCATGGCGCATGAACGGACGTCATTTGCCTTCAAACTTGCTTGCGATGACCTGACACATGAGTTGCACCTTGAAGAGCTGGAAACGATTCCACATGACTTGCTGCCAGCATTGTCCAAGGCATGTCCACCGGCGAATCAACCAACCTTTGCATCTCCGATGACCGCAGAGCAGCAAGCGCATTTGGCCGAGAAGCGGGCTGAGGCGCTGCGACTGAAAGAGTCATTGATAGAAGCTGTCAAATCGCGAGATGTGGCATTGGTGAGGGAACTCGTGCTTAAGGGTGCGCCTGTAGACACAACAATTCGCCTCAGAGCTACCCGTGGACTACCAAAGGGGACTGGGTTTTCAGCAGCTGGAGCCGGCAGTCAGAGGTGGGTTGAAGTAAGCTTGCTACACTTGGCAATGTCCGTTTGCATTCAAGAGCCAGAATCAGCAACTCATCCAGCGCATAAGATTGCAGAAGATCTGGGTATGACCTTTTCTCGCCAGGCCTTTAGGCCCTGCTTTGGTGGAAGTATGCTTGAAGTTTTCCAATCTGCCCAGATGAACTTGGATTCTTCTGACTCCGACGGTTTGTCTCCAATTTTCTATGCTGCCATGTGTGGCAACACTTGCTGCCTGCAGCACTTGCTTGAATCAGGGGGCACTTCACTTCTCGAGCATCGTGACAACTACGGACGTAACATCTTGTACTGGGCGGTGGCGAACAACCAGCCTTCAACAGTTGAATGGATTTTGGCCAATGCATCGGGACGAATCACCGTCGACGATGCAAATGTAGAGGGCCAAACTGCGTTGGCGAAGGCTGCGTGGTGCGACTTGCCAGAAATTGCGAAGATCCTTCTGGCACACCGGGCTGACCCGACCATTACAGACAAGCACGGCCGGCATGCGCTTCACAAAGCAGCTTGGGGGCCAGATGGAGGCCGAAATGGTGTGAAAGTGGTGGGTGGACAAGAGGTGGGTGGCAGCCCCCAGTGTGTGGAGCTTTTCCTCAGGGCAGACTTTTTGCGAAGTATCGCCGTACGCGATGTCTACGGAGCTACGCCTGTCCAGGTTGCTTCCACAAGCGGAGCTGTGGAAGCATTAGATTTGTTACTTCAGACGCAGGAGGGTCGGGCAGAAGCTACAGCAGCTTTGGCTGCGACAGCGTTTAGAGGTCAGCAGGAATGCTTAAAGTTGCTGTTGGACGCCAAAGCAGATTTGTATCAATGCAACCCACTTGGGTTTTCAGCCTTTGATTGTGCAGTTGCGGGAGAAAGTGCCAGTGGGCTGGGCGAACTGCTCACGCGGCTCCTGAAAGAGGAACCACTTTCCGGCAGTGCCTTAAAGTTGTTGGAGAGTGCTATGAATTGTGCTTGCAGGCTAAGAAACAGCGTGCTTTTGGAGATGTTGCTGTCTGTTGAAGAAACCCGTGATTTTCTACACCAGGAGTTTGTGGCTCTTTGCGTACAAGCCACCCTAGACAAGGACTTGGAGCCGCCAAAAGCTTGGCCACCGTTCGCAGCCTCTCCAAAAATGCCCATCAAATGGACGAACAGCCAAGCTCTGGTGGCTTTAAATTCCTTTGGCCCTGCATCTGAGGAGGATCTTAAGAAGTTGAAGCGTTGCTGTGTCTTGTTACTGAAGGCTGGGGCGCCTGTAAGTTCTGCGACCTTGGCTCTGACCATTCGAAACCATCTGGGAAGTGACCTGAGCTTCCTCGAGATGCTCACGGGCCAGATGCTTCGCTTCAATCCGGAAATCCATCAGCTTTCCTGGCCCCTTGTGGCAGCCATTCAGACGCATCATAGGCCTGCAGTGCAAAGTTTGCTGGACCATGCAGCTGATCCAACCTCGGAAGATGGTTTTCCCATCGCACTAGCAGCAGCTTTGGGGCACAGTGACATCATGGCATGGTTTCTGGGCAGTTGCCCTTCATGCAAGCTGCTGTGTCGAGAAGCTTGGAGAAAGTGTCAACACTTTCAGGATGAAAATTGTTTTGATGTTCTTTATTTTGATCCAATCGTCCTTAGCAGGCCTCTCTCTCTCTCTCTCGCTCGTTCTTGAGCCCAGCATCTAGTTGGTGTGAGGAAGAGTTTTCTTCGCCTCTGCCGTGGACCACCATTGCGGACAAGAGTGGCACGTTGTGCGGGCAGATGGTGCCACTCAGAGTTCGGTTCATGCAAATGGCAAAATTATGAGAATCTAAGGTCACTGGTCTTTTTTGGTGAATTTTGGTGAAGGCTCTCAGTGCTGCTTTAGTTTGCAGGTACCACTCCAAGTGGTGGCCGCTCGTTTCGGCCATCAAGAGTGCATGGCCTTGGTCGATTCTGCCGCTCGTGGTCTGGCGCCGACCACAGCAGGGCCCGATTCTTGCTTGAGAGAAGGTCAGCTACTGAAGGCGAGAGGAACAAGTTTGGCGCCCAGAGTGATGTCATTCAGAGTAGAGGAGAGGGAGGAGGCATCAGCTACATCAGCCTCACAAGCGGAGAATGACGGCTTCAGCTCCTTCTGCCAACTCATCCAAATCTGGGAGAGACGACGCTTTGACGCGGATCCGGCACCTTTGCCCTCCAGAATCCACTTTGTCAGCACTTCCGGCGAGGCCTTCGCTGCGATCGAGACTCTCCGGGCAGATCTGCATGGCCGTGCTGTGCTCGGAGTGGACGTAGAATGCTACCGGGACGTTATTTGCACGGTGCAGCTGTCTTCTGGGGTTCACCACTTTGTCCTTGATGGCTTGGTCCTTCATCAGGAAATGTCTTCAATCCTGGGATTCCTAGCGGAGCCTGATATCATAAAAGTGTTTCACAGTCCACGGAATGACTTAAGGTGGCTGCGCATAAATTTCGACATTTCTCCTTGCAATATCTTTGACACGGCCTCTGCTGCAATGAAGCTCAATTCAGTGTTTACCACTACCCCGAGCCTGAAAGAGCCGCTCTGCCTGTCACAGCGTAAACGAAGAAACCAAAGTGAAACCACATCAGATTTAACGATCAAACGGTTTGTTGCCCCCGACTTTGCTGTGGCGGATGCCATCAAACTATCAACTCTCTTAGGCTGAGTATGCAGCTGCTTCATGTGCAACTGGACAAACGCTATCAGCAAGCAGACTGGCGACTGCGACCTTTAACCCCAGAGATGCTTCAGTATGCAGCAACCGATGCTTCAGTGCTGGTTCCCCTTTTCCAGCGATTTTGCTGCTTGCTGTGGCTTTGTTGATTCACGGAGAGCTTTTCTTGGGCCAGTGGTTCAGGCGTTTGTATTGTGCTCTCGTGCTATGACACTGGGTGACAATTGCTCAATGGACAAATACTTCTCTAAGTTGAACTTACTGTAGTACAACAAAAAGCTTTTTGTTGGTCGCATCGGTGTGTCGGTAGCTACAGCAAGCACTGCTTGGCTTACTATCTTGACACCTTAGCAGCTTCCATGCACCTAGCTTCAATCGCCCAGGTCGCCGGATGAACTTCAAGACTCCTGGAGCGCTACAAACAAGCTAAATTACAAGACCGAACTGCCCTTGCTACGTGTGACCTTGGATGGGTTCCAATTTCAGCATTCGGAGTCGCCCCTCACCTCAAGTTGAACAAGTCACTATACAAATGGGACGTGGCCAAAGTACACAAAGGAAAAAAGTACATGCTGAGCTGCTGACTGAGAATGGCCTGTAGTTTTCAGCGGAGTCTGGTCCACAATATCAACTTTTTGAAACCGCCAGGCTATGCTGTGGGTGCAAATCGAATGCCTGTCACTATGCTGTTGGTCGAGGTGAAAGCAGCCAGGAACCAAGGGACGAGTAAAGCTAGTAAAATTGGAAACTGGAGCAAAGCGGAGCGAAACAATTTTTTTGGACTGCCTTGATCTTCAATGACCTTCATACCTTAGTCGCCTCAGTCCATCTTACCAGTGCCGAGGCCAAGCTGCGATGTCAGTGCACCATGATAGGTTGATCCGCTGTCCTTAGCTTGGATGCATCTACCAAGGACATCAATTGTGTGGACAAGTCCCAAAACAGCAGCCTTCATTATGCAGCAGCCTATGGACGGCAGGCGTCCTTCCACCGTCTTTCACCTCGAGAAAACGGCAGCCTATAGCCTATAGCCATCTATAGCCTATGGATGTCGGACACGTTATAACTTATAACATGCAACATAGACTCAACACCTTGACAATGAAGTGCTATTGAATTGGATGTATGGTCTTTGTGATTCTTTGCGCCTTTCCTTCACATTCTTTTTGCGCCTTACCATTATGAGAAGCTTTCCGGTCCTGTTGTGAGGAGATCCTGGAATACCTAGTCAGTCAGGGGGCTGACTTCAACAAAGCCAACGCGAGCCCGCCCCCCAAAGAACTCAGCAGCTTGTTGAAAAAGGGAAGATATGTAAACAGTGGACAAGAAACAAATGCAGATGAACATCCTTTTTCTCTGATTAGCCGGTCTGAAGTCTGAAGGAATGAACAACGAACCACTTACCTCTTTTTCAGGGGCGTACCTCGGATGTGCAGGCGTGTTGTCAATCCATGTCTCGCCTTGATATCATCTCTGTTTGCCGAATTCGTCTTCGCACCATACTTTGGACCGAACTCTGACATCGCTGGAGATGGAGGCGACTGCCAAGACCTATCGGAAAGACATCATGTAGTGGCGCATGTCTACGAACTTGTGTCTGAGAGAATTCATTCTGTTTGCTCATAAGATCTGAAATGGGCGGAGATGTTTGTATTCCAGCTTGAGGAACTGAGTCACTGAGTGATGCTTGGCCATCAACATTTCCATTTTGTCTCGCTCCCTTCTCTGCCAAGGTGGTCAGACACCTTTGGGCGTGGCGATCAAGAACGAACAGCGAGGAACCCCGAGGAACTGCGTTTGAGGTTCCGTCCAGTGCCACCCTAGTAGCAATGGCCTCCACCCTAGTAGCGATGGCCTCCAACCTACTAGCGATGGCCTCCAACCTAGTGCCAACCTGCCGGAACATAAATGATTCTTTTTCCCCGCGCGGAGATTGCGAGATTCTGCCGGTGTTGGCATTCCTGTGCTGGTGGCTTACTTCTCCAAAGCGTATGTGACTTGAGGGTCCATTCTGGTAGGATTTTTTGTGTAATGTTTCGTTGACGTGTCTTTGTGATTAGACATTGTGTCTTTTCTCCAAGGTCGTTCACCTGTATGGAGTTTGTGCCGAGCAGGTTTTCCTCGATGACACTGTGTTGGGTTTTGCAGTTTTGCTCCTTTCAATTTGTCTTCCACCGTTTGTTGGGTTGGGATGTATGTTTTAGATGGCAGCTTTATCTCCGAGCTTGTTGGCCCCTACCATTGCGGTGGTGGCTTGCCTTCACATTGTCTCAAACTTGGTTCCGCTGTTTTCCATTTGCTTTCCACTGCACGTGCCACCTGCGGCAGCCGTTTACAGATGCTTAGGGCTTATGCCTTTGGCTCGGCATGGAGTCAACCACCTTGTTTGTTTAAGGCCACAATTGAAGTATGTTCAGTTTCACATTTTGCTCCAACTGCGGCAGTGTCTCTGTAGACATGCACAGCAACTAACCTGTTCAAAGAAAGATGCACTTTTCTTTTCCGAGCAAGTCCAGGTTGGAGGCCATCGCTAGGCTGGAGGCTATCGCTAGTAGGTTGGACTCAGTAAGTTCCTATATGGGAAGTCGGCAGACCGGTTGGACTTAGTAGGTTGACCTCTTTGTTGGAGCTGTGGGCCGATTAGATGGTCAATCATTGATGGTCTTGGTAAGCACTTGATGGGGCTGTGGCTTTGTCTTCGTATTTTGCGGCGCTGAACCTTCAACCTCTCCCCTTCCCACTAGACGCTAGTGCGCATGTAGGACTCAACTTTCTAGCGTTGTCTTCCATTTGCCTTCAAACTTGTGTCACCCTTCCTCCCCGATCCTTTTTCTGTCAGAGAGTTGATGCTCTGTGTCATGATGTCGCTCTTGGCATGAACTGGTGAATAGTCCTGTGGTCTGTCATGCTTGGAAGCGTGAACAGGCCATTCGCCCCGTTGCATGTCATGCTGTCACGCTTGGTCGCATTGCACGCTATGTCGGCACGGCAATGCTCTTTTATTTTACTTGTCTTTGTTCATGTTTGTTATGCGCTTCCCAAGGGTTTTGATCTCATGGGCAGAACGGATGGCTTGAGACCAACTTCTGTTTAGTACGTAGTATGTGGTGATCAATTTTTGTTTTGGAGTGGGCAAACTCCGGTCATGGCCAAGCATCTTCATCCTCTTTTGGGATCGACTTAGGCTAAAGATTGTGGACTTGCTGAAGAGCAAGGGCGCTCGATGAGCCTAAGAATCTCAGGGCCAAAGCAAGCTCGAGTGTCAGCAGACCGCAGGCCCTTGGCAACATGGAGGTTTGTGATTCTGTGCCGCAGCCCAACAATTCCCGGTACATGTTTTCGCATGGATTTCTGGCATGAACAGGCACTTGTTGATAGACACATGGGGCTGCTTGTTGTATGAGTCTGGCATGGACAGTTGAACAAGAGGTCTGTGGAATCCTTCCAGGGCAGTTCTTCCAGTCACGGAGGAAAAAGGGAATCGCTCCGCATGGACTCGATGGGAGGTATAGGTATAGGCACAGTTTTTTCACCTGAAGCAAAGAAGAAGCAATGAAGAGCAGATTTTTCTGCAGATGTGAATCTTCAGTGAATCTTCCAGATCACTAGTACACAGACGGTCTTTCGTCAAGGTGGCTACTGTAGCTCACTGGGAGGATGTGCCATGTTGCGCGTTTCCATTTCTGAAGCCGCTTCTGAGCTGATCGATCTTCAATTGTGAAACATGATTGGCAAATCAACATGCAGGTGTACCACTGGTCGAACATTTGTGATCATCTACATATATGGGAGTTCAATCAAATCATATCAAATCATCAACTATGGATGCTGGGACATTAATCCGGATCCAGCCTTGGGTGAGGCGCGCTCCTTGCACATTTCAAGTCAAGTAACATTTCTGGTCGATCTTTTCACGTTCTGTTTTGCACAGCGGATCACCGTTTGCGCCGTTTGCAGAAGCCGTTTGCAGCTCTGAACGCCCAATGCTGGCGCAGTGGCCCAAGGCACTGTTGAAGCCATGCTGCTCCCACCTGCTGTGGCGCGGATCCTCGACGCCGGCGATGCCCCGCTGCTGTGGACGAAGCCGCCTCTTCCGGTCCGTTTGCGACCTCTAAAGCCCAATTTGGCCCGTGCAGAAACCAAATCCGCAGATGGGAAGGAAGATAAAGGAGAAGTTGGAGAAGTTGGAAGGAGAAGAATGAAGGACGAGAAGATGGAAGAGGGACCTGTGATGCTTCGGAAGCCACGACCCCCTCCACAGCCCAAGCCAGGAAGCCACGCACCCCGTAAAACGCCCAGCCCTCACTTTATCGTGACGCCGCCGAACTCGACCTCTCCGGGTGAGCTGGGTCTGGGAATGTTCTGGCGAGAGCCTGGACAAGCACATGGCTTGATTTTCCTTGAAAGCCCTGCAAGGCAGCCAAGTGCGCAGGATGGGAAGCGGAAACCAGGAGACTTGGGCTCGAGTCTCTATGGCTCTGGCTGGCGACAACAAATCCCTCGTGCGGAGCCAGCAACGAACATTGCGTTGAAAGCATACGCACCAGCTCCTGCAAATCCACCAGCTCCATCTACAGCCCCAGCCAGTCACAAGGCCCATGAGGCTCGTCCACCACAGCCTGTAGTGCCTGACAACCAGGCCGTGCCTGACAACCCTGCCGTGCCTGACAGCCCTGCTAGCTCGGAGGCCGACATTGAGCCTGTGAAGAGGGGAAGCAGTCTTCATGATACCTTCATGGATGTCTTAGATCAAGAATTAAGAAGTGTTGGGTTGCCTTTGCAGTTGCACAAAAGTATCAGCATGGCAGTGGATCGTTCCTTGAAGGAATTGCTGGATGTGCAGCAAAAGGAACTCAATGAGCGGCTTCATGCGAAGTTGAAGAAAGACCTTGAGTCTGAGCAGATCTTTTGGTCCCATGCCAGTGCTGCACGCAAGGCCCTTTTTGATGAAGCATGCCGGCAGGTACAGGATGCAGAAGCCAGGTTTTGGTCACATGCAAGCGCAGTAAGAGCAGGGCAGGTGCAAGAGTCGGAAGAGAGATTCTGGTCACATGCCAATGCAGCCAGAGAAGCTCTCCTAGATCAAGCACGCCAGGAGGCTTCCCAAGTCTTGCAACAAGCCGCCGGAGATGGCAGTCTAGCAAAGGTTTTGGATCAAGTAGCAGCCTACCAACTTCCGGCCACCCATTGCTATGACAATGACTTGTTGCATGCCAAGCCAGCTGATGATGTGGTCGATGACATGATGAAAGAGGTCGTTAGCTGCAGTGTGAGCTGGCTTGAGTCTTTGTTGGACGAGGCACAGCATGAGTATAGAGAGGTTGAGATCAGCATGGTGCCCAAGTCGGAGCAAGAAAGGAGTGAACAAGTGGATGAGGCGATGCAAAAAGTGGCAGCAAGCCTTCTTGAAGCTGCAAAGAACTGCAGTGTCCCAGTGACGTCTGAAGATGCGAGATCACCCAGTGGAACCGAGAAGTCAGTGCTTTCCGCAAGCTCCTGCACGCCTTCCTATGATGTTTCCGAGGTAGCTTCGGTTGCTGTGCATGATGTGGTGGATATGGCGGCGAGCCATTTCGCATCTGATGTGGACACAGCGTTCAGAGAGGATGCAGCTCAGTCAGTTGCAGTCTCGCAGGGAAGTGAAGAGCTTTGGGAGGATGTGGCGCTGGAAGTGGCAAAGCAGGTCATTTCCAGTCATCTCAGTGAGGTAGGGACCTAAGGCGTTTTTTTGGTCCTTTTTGCTTAGGCCCGGTTTGTACACTTTGTTTGCCTCACGGGCAGTGTACTGATTCGCAGGGCCAACAGGTTGCAAGCTGCAAGTTGAAACTGGCATGCGGTGGTGCAGCCTTGGGCAAAAGCATTGCCCAGCGATTCCGCCAAGCGGACCACAGTCATCATAGATGTTTTTTTGCGAACTATGAAAAGACTGACTGGCAATTGACTGGTTCATATGACGAAAGAGCACGCAAGGTAAGTTGTTACATCCACAATTTGGTAAGGTGCTTTTTTTGCCACACGCACAGGCCGCGTAACGGCACGCAAAACGGCGACAAGGCACTGGCCCGACAAGGGCCAGAAAGAGGGACGCAGGAAAAACTAGAAGAGTCTCTTCTGAAGGGACGTGTTTCTGAGCTCAAGAAATGTCTCTTTGAGTGCGACTCAAGTCTCATTGAGTGCAGCTCATGGCCTAGCATGTAGAAGGCCTGAAGCCACAGTCCGAAGAGCGCAGTCCTTTGAGAGCAGCAGCAGGTTGGACCGAGCCGCTCAGGCAACAGTGGCAGTTGTAGCGCCTGGGGCTGGTGTCGGTGCGAACGGAGACATCTTCCTGGAGTTGGATAGCGATCCAGAGCTGCAGGTATAGACCCAAGTCTCCCATGTTGCTTGCCCAAGCTTAGTGCCTTTAGATGCGCTGGATTCATCTGGATTGACACCAAGATGCCTTTTGAAGCCATTGAGCATTCGATGTGGGCTCGACTCGTGTTTGGGTTGAGCAGACCTCAGGTGGAGATGATTGGTCGCAAAGGCATGCCCTACGATCCCAGGCTATTAATCAATATCAGTTCTGGCCTCCTCTCGCAAGCCCTATGCATCAATCCCTTTACTTTACTGCTCAAGTTGACTTGCAGTGACCCAAAAAGGCATTATATAAACGTATGATGGGTCAATGCAATAAGTTGCTTTTGCCAAGCATTTCTTCGAGACAGACAGTTGGGCATGTCGTCGTTCAGCCATACAGAAAGTAATCTATCCCAAGCCGGCTAAGGATCGATATCCAGAAACTTGGCAAAGTGGGGCTTGTAAACCAAATCTGCAGAGCTTTGGCGAGGATGTGGTACGAATTGGAGCGCATAAACGTACCTTGTCCGAAAAGAAAGCCCCTCAGCATGGACTTTGAGCATAGACTGCATAGATCTTGATGATTGCAGGGGTGTTGAGGCGATTATGCCCTAGTCTTGATGGTGCCAGTTTCAGTGATACTTTTTCATCTACCAGCAACAAGTTGGGGCACCCAACTATGAGCCAAAATCATGTTGGTTCTTTTCCTCTCGCCAATAGAAAAACTTGGCTTCGTCCACTCGAGTCCTATGGCCGCCGTTTACGGCCGCTTCGTACGGCTCCGAACATCGACGGTCCAAGGTGTAGATTGCTTCATTTTCGGCTCCCGTGGGGGCCAGGTGGTGCTTCCGATCCTTTGGAGAGAGTTGAAGAATGATGCGCCACCTAGACAGAGACTTACTTCTTTGGAATGAAACGAACTGCCAGAACACCAACTGTTTGAACTTGCCATCTCCAGAGCCGATGCTGTGTGATAGGAGCTTTGAGCTCTTTCGCTAAGGTGTCGTGGTGAATGGCGGTTGTGCTGCACGGCTACCAGGGCCTAGAGTTTACTGGCCTGCAAGTGCCTTGGAGTGTTCTTGTGTTGCGAAATCTTGCAAAGGATGGCCGAGGGATCACTCAGAATGCTTTGGTGGAACTGAGTTTGCCAAGCGAACAAACAAAAGGTAACAGAAGCGCAGCTCTGCCCTGCTATCCCCAAGAGCCCTGTGCATCTTCTCACCAGCGCTCCACGCTGTATGATAGCACTCTCCGCATCAAATGAGTTGACAATCACAAGACTGTGCTACACAGGTGCCTTTGAGCCTTTGAGGCCACATGTGCTCTTAGTTACAATTGAACACTTGGGGCTTCCTTCCACACATCCTTACTTTATCGATAACGGAGTTAGTCTATGTGTGTGGCCACTTGACTTTGTCAGCAACTTTGAAGTGCATCTAAACCGTGACCCATGCTTCGGACCACAACGTTCTGCTGCTCAAAATTCATGACCGGTCGGACCAAGGTGTTGTTACAGTGATGTTGCTGGGCGGACAGGAGAGAATGTTGGCCGGTTCTTAGGAGCAGCTCTCCTTCGAGGCAGGGTCATCCCATGTCATTTGTGCAGGACTTCTTCCGCTCGGGCATTTCACGGGATGAGTATCTGAACAATACTCTTCAATGTGTGGGCGATACGAACCAGACCCTTGGACCAATGGCACAGATGAATGGACAGGGAACAATCTACACATATATATATATACATACATACACAGTATATAATTGATACATTTATTGTTTGTATTCCATGTCAATTTTAGCGCCAAAGGTCCTAAAGCAAAGGTGTTAAGTCTGTTCAGCAGTCCGCATGCGTGAAGCAGCTCATTTTGAACCAACAAACCATGGGAATCCATCGGATGCCTTCATTCTATTGACACATTGAGTGACACATTGAGGTATGGTTCTGAGTTGTGTTGCACTGTCTTGCGTGGCCTTTTCTTGAAGTAGACTTGTTTTGGGCGAATCGGCAGCTGGATCTTGTACCTTCACCTGTGTATCGGCCCAGGACCACTGCTTTCTTGTTTGTGCCGTAGCTGCAAATTGTCGCGGGAACATTTTGCTTGTCGAAGACCCCCTGCTATTTTGACAGACCAGAACGACCTTTATCATTAGCTGAGGTGCCTGAAATGAAACACATGCCGCCAGAAGCCAAGTGTTGGGCGGTGGCAAATCAGAATCTGCAAGCAAATCAGTTGCTCGGGGGCCTCCATACGGAAACGGATCGATACCTGAGGATACCTAGGACATCCCCACCGCCCCTTAAGTTTCCCTAAAGATCTAGACACCAAATCATTGGTGCGAGCGTGAGCTATCTTGCGTCCTGTCGGTAGTAGCGTTCTTGTAGCTACTGTACTAGGTACCTAGCTTCTACTAGCGACTCCCTACCTCTAGCTACTTACTACCTACTTCACTTCCTAGCGGGCCCCCCGGGCTTTAAAGAAAACACAACAATAAACTAGCATTGAATGTGTCTCAGAAGCTGGAAATCACAAAGCAAGGGCTTTTCTGTGTCCTTGCATGTGGCTTTTCTAAGCTTGCGCTTACTTACTACTCAGCCTACTACCGTCCTCACTGCCCTTCAAAGAGTGCCATGCTTGCCTTGAGTTCTTTTCCAAGGCAGGAAGAGGTGATGCGGGCTTCGCTGCGACATTTTGTTCTGGCAGCCTTGGCGTGGAAGAAGGCAGGGTTGACTCCGAAGTAGCCGTGCTGTGGGGCCGTGCCGCACTATGTCAGTCGTTTGGTTGCCTTGAGGGGTAAGGAGATGCATAGACTGACCGATATATTTTGCTTTGAACACGTGGAGCCAACTGTCCATCAACGTGTGAGCTTCATTCCATCAACAGTTTTGCTCGAAGACATGAAGACAGGTACCTGAGAGATTCCCTGCAGACCATTTGGACAGAGCTGCAGAGGCAAATAGCCGGAGAGCTGCATCAAAGACAAGTGGTGGGATCAATACATTCACTACCCTCTTTGCAACCAGACACTCTTTCCCCTCTTACGCTCCTCTTACAGACACTTCGACCTGATCGTGTTTTGATTGATACTTGATACATCTTGATGCTCTATTCGGTTAGTCTTCAATCAAATCGGTGTCGCTTGCTTTCAGTCAGAGAAGGAGAGAAACTCAAGAGTAGTCCGCAGAGGCGTTTTATCTAGTCAAATATTGCTTCAATACCAGGAAGTCACTCCGAGCTATCGCGTTTTCGCTCGGCATTATTCTCTCCAAAGAAAAGACTTATCGCATTTTGGCTCTTCGTTTTCAGTTTTTCGTTGCGTGCGGAGGCTTTGCTGCATCAGGGTTTTGCGAACGAATTGTTCTACAAGTCTGGTGGTGGCTGGTGCCAGAAGACCTTTGGCAGGATGCCGCTGGACCTCTGGCGGGAGAGAACGAACGTTGCTTTGTTCGTCGTCTCAAGGCGAAGGTTTTTTCAAGGTGAAGGTGCGGTCGCTGACACCCGCGCTCTCGCTCGTGACCACAGGACCGGCAACCACCACCTTTGTCACCCAGAATACCGAGGTGTGACGTCAGGGCTGGTCATGTGACACAGGAGGGGCCTCGTCTCGGGGTTCGCCTCCTCTCTCGGTTTTGAACCTGGAACCCTGGAACCCTGTGACTGAGCGACACAGTCGTGGCCTTGTGAGTTTCGTAAGCAACATACCAACATTCTATCTGGGATCTATGCCGATGCAAATGTTCGATCTCTTAAGGCATGCTGCAGAGAACATCAAACATGTCTACATCACATGTTACAAAACATAAGCTGAGCTCGAACAATGCGTACTCTAATTCTATCACAAGATCCTATCAGTATGAACGCATCAAACAGTGCCTCTCAAATCCTTTTGATGCCTTCCTCAATTTGTATAGCCCTTCTGGCAGAAAGTGCAGCAAATCCGACATTGTGTAGTGTGTAAAGTCTGAACTGCGACTAAAGGTTGGCAGGGGCATGGCAGACCAGGCTAGGTGTTCCTTGCAGCTTCTTTCATTGCACGCTGCAGGCCGCCAGGCGACCCATGCCCACCCCATACAGCAGTTTCGGTATTGCCAGCAAAAGTTGCAGTAGGCGATAGCAAAGCAGGCACGTGTCGGGTGTGTGTGTGCTTCCCAGTGTGTGTGGGTACAAAGGGAACGATGCAAGATCTGTGTGGATGCAGTCGATGGACCCTTGACAATCCAGGTTGGTCAGGCGATCTTAGCAGCGATGGCGTGAGAGGTAGGCAGAGACGTCCATTGCACAGAATCAGGCCATGTATTCAACTCTGTACCTCATGTGAGCACCTGGCGAAGATGACACAAACACATTATATACGGATGCCTGTTCCCAAACCAGAATATCAATATCTATATATATATATATACAGGAGCTGTTGCTTGTGAAGCCTTCGCTTTTTCGCATTTTCCACTAGCAGGCCATGAAAGTTTGGCGGCGGAAGCTCGCCGGTTGTCTCGTGAGCCAGGCGGGCGACAAGCGGAGGCTTCCGCACGGGATTAAACAAGATAAATATTCTCAAATACTTACGGCAGCAAGGTTGCTGCTTTCGATTCTTACTTTGCATCCTGCCCTTAGGCATATCTGAGTTTTGACTGAAACAGTTGTGAGCGAAAAACTACAGCAATGCTACTGAAACTGCTTGGATATTTAGTCTTCACAGGCCATCCTGTTCAATTGGATCTTGTTGCTAGCTGCTAGCGACAAGCTTTCCAATTTCAGCTCGCGCAAGGCATCGACCCAGGGTATCAGATGCTCTTGTTGGAGTTTGCGAATGGGCAAGACGCAGAGGCAGTGGCGACAAAGACTGCAGAGACAGATGAATTGGCGCACGCAGACGTGACATTCAAACAACTGGACTCTTGCTGACCGGGGTGGAATGGGACATATATATATATACTGTATATCGAAATGCCGCTCAAAGGTATGCAGCAGTTTCATTTCTTTGTTTGTGAGTCTGGAAGCTGCAGCGTATTCTTTGTACTGAAGACTAGTTCAAAACGAAACACTAGTCTCAAAAAGAACCCGAGGTGAATACACAACATAATGCAACCAAACAATATGGAATACTGGACCCGTTGGTTTCCTCTCTCTCTCTCTACAGTATATATATAGATATATGTAGTTCGTTTAAGGTTTTTGACACTATATCCACTTACTGTATGAGTTGTGTAGTTTGTAGGAGTTCTGCAAGTATTTGATTCATATGTAATAGACTTGATTACACACGCACACAAACTTCTTGTTACATCAGTCAATGTCAACGTGTGTATGCATCAGACAGGCAACAACAGAATAGCCTAGTTATATACTCCATCGCCTTTATTCACATGATCATCATTGGCAAGTTCGCAGCCTTGTGAAAGTAGTATAAAGTAATGGAGGGCTGCAAATCCCAACGCATCACATCTGCGATTACTGCTCAATGCTCCCAGAATGTGCAACTGGCATGACGTGGTAACCAATAAATACACACTCTGGGATTTGATCGAGCTTGCAGTTCGAGTAGAACCAACAAAGATGTTGTCAAACATGAGGAAACAATGCTGTTGACCCGTCGCAGCCAGGCTTGGGCTGCAGAGGATGATCGCATCATGAGAGAGCTGAAGGCCCAAGTGAAGGTGTGCGCTTGGGAAGGGATGGGACACACATGTGCGCGCACGCGCGCAACAGGGGATGGACATGCAGCTGTGAGTGGACTTTTCTTACTTGCAAACTCACACCACCCATGTGTGCAAACTGATCAATCTGTTGTCATGCTTCTGCACCATCCGCAAGTTGTAAAAGAACTACGTGACGACCTCCACCAAGCTGGGCCAGGACAGCTGCTCCTCTAGGAACTTGAGCGAGAGCTCCCGCAAGCGAGGTTCACAACGAGTGCTCTTGTGGTATGCCACAGCCAGAGCATACTGACTCATTGCTTTCTCTTTGTATAGCGGAAGCTTGTCTTGGTTTCCATTGTACTTTGACACCCCTTCTCTTCCGTTTTCCTCATTCATCTTCTTCCACACCCTCCAACGCGAGCTGGATTTGCTCTCCTGCACCATTTGCATGGAGTGCAAGTACTATTCATCCTGACAAGAATGCATCATTTGTGACAAGATTTGACACCTTCGGCAAGAATGCCCTGTCTATCCAACAAAACCTTTGCAGACCTCCAGAGAGAGCTCCTTACTTCTGTGCTCTTCTAGTGCAGCCCAGTCCAAGCTGTCTCGATTGCCCTCAAGCTCACGACTTCCGCGCCCATCCAAATGCGCAGCGAGTCTGACAAAATCGCAATCTTGCCATCGAGAAGAGGAATGCATCCCCAGGCAGCAATCGTTTTGAGCTTCGGGGGATACTGGTATGTCAAGCAGGCAGCTGCAGTTGAAACACACACACACACACAGTGGATAGGCAAGAATGAGCTTCTTTGAGTCTTTGATCCATTTGCCGCGTGTTTCTTTCTAGAGGCATTGATGCCACGTGAGATTGGGCATGCTCTGAAGAGGGTAGCCACTCTCATGGTTTGCCTCATTAGGGTAATGCGGTGCACTTAGCCTTCAAAAGGCAGCTTGCATACTGGCGGCGAACGCACAGGCCTTGGATAAGGTGAGCACTCGAACCTTCAGGCTTTCGTTCGCTTCCAGGTGATGGCAATTCCTTCACCCCGTTCGGTGCCGTTCGGCTTCACCTTGCCCTTTCGATGCTCGACAAGGAAACCGGTGAAACGCCCTGAAAAGAGGCGCTTAGGCGTTGGGCCAACGGCTCATCAGACCCTGTCTCCACCCACAAAAAGGTTTTCCTTTGAGCCGCATAGGATACTGAATTGCTTTCTCTTTGTACAGCCGAAGCTGGAGTTCCATCGTACTTTGCCCTTCCCTTTTCATCCCTTTTTCCTTGTTGGTTTTCACACCTTCCGCCACGAGGCCAGGTGTGACCAGACCCACCCTTCCGTGGAATTTGCTGCTCTCCTGCATTTCGTCAGCCTGGCCTCAAGGTGCAGCCAGGCAAACCGCCACCATCCAAACCAATCAGTGGCACCCTTTCCTGATACCGAAAGTTGGTCTTGGTCCAAAAGATGTAGTGGAAACATGAACAGAATGAAGTGCATGTAACATAACAAGCAATACCCACCTAACACCCTACCCTACCCTACCTTTTTTGCAATCTTCAACCAACTCTTCTGAAATACCTCCAGTGGCGCCACTCTATCAAAGTAAATTGGGTCTTGCGGTAGGAACGCGTGAACAAAAAATTACATATGGGAGGCTTGTGAGAGAGAGAGAGAGAGAGAGATAGAGAGAGAATGGTCGGAGCAACGGTTTTGTGGAAAGGGCTGGCATGCTGTTTGGGGGACAGGTGTCATGGTATGGCTGCAAGAATAATTCAGAATATTTTATTTGCTTGATTGAGGAGGGGTCAGCATATGGCTACACAAGCTTGGAATTCCACTTGGCCAATTCCAGTTTAGATCACCGCATAGCTACCACTAAACCAGCCCAGCTATTGAGAGTCCTGACTTGAACTCACACACTTGCTTTCCTCACCACTTAGCTGAGCTAGCCAGACCATTGCACGTCGCCGCTTCGTTTCACTTCACTGGCTAACTAGGCTTACTCGGGTTGGCGCAGTCGCCATTGGGCTAGTCTTTGTCAAACCACAGGAGAAGGAAAGACGTGCTTGCGAATCACGTGATGCTCGGGCTTGCCCAGTGCCTTGGCCTTGTTCAACACTCAATGATAGCGGGCGAGAGATGGAGGTTTCCGGGGGTTGACGGCTGTGAAGTTTCCGTTTTCCACTTTCAGGCTTACGCTGACAAGGGTGTCTTGGGTGCTTATTCGGCTCCGGCACCGCAACTGCGGCTAGCAAGGCAAGTTCAAGCTGCTCCAGCCCCTTGCTTGGGATTCAGAGCTTGTACAAGTATTGATGAAAGCGCTACACGGCTGGGCATTGGACAAACACGGAAATCATCCCCATGCAATAAGTCTAATTCGACAAGGAGCTTTCTGGAAAGGTTTCTTTTGAAGGACCCTTTATTTTAAAACGCAGTGACAGAACTGCAGTGTCGGATGTACTTTGTTGGTCTTTGTTGGACAATTCACCATGTTTTATTCTTGGTGGAGGCCAAAGACAGTGTAAGAACATGAAAGAACTGGTGCACATTCAATCATTCCGTACACATCAGTTGGGTAACAACAAACCTGAATTTGCTGTCAATTCATTGACACAAAAACACCATTTTGGTGGTGATCATGATGGGGCTTTGAGCAGGTCTTATTTTAAGTGTAGCAAGCCTTATCGTCCAAGGCCATTCGTTTTTTTCATACTTTGCAGACAGCGACATTGAGAGAGTCCTGCTAGGTTGAATTGGGTAGATGGCAGATCATGGGTTTTGTATCATTGTGGTGGGTAAATAGAAGCAGGCTCAACATCAAAAGGAGGCAGGAGCTGCTACCAACAAAAGGTTAGCCAGACGCAAAGAGATCCACACCCGTTCTAGCGGCTATAGTTTTTTTTGAACATGCATCATTGGATGCTGGTGAAAGAGTTCCTAAGGCATTTCATGAATCGTCATGATTCAGTTTGGGGTTTGCTAGCGCTCTTTGATTTGCTGGCGTGTTTGCAACACATCATCGGGCCTCCTTCGACGTCTTTCCCGCACCTGTCGTTTGATCCCAGGCTGCACCCAGATCCTTTGCGTCGCAGCCGTCGCAGCCGTTGCAGCCCTACGGCCCCTGCGGCCCCTGCGGCCCCTGCGGTCCCTGTGGTCAATTCCAGCCGGTCCCTCATCGAGCATCTTGGAGATGAACCAAGTATCTTGAATGGTGATATCTCCTCTTTGCCTTTAGCTGTCACTGGATTGATGCAATAAAAGAGTCGAAGTCAACAGGTCACGGTGCCCTTTTTGGACTTGGCAAATCCTCTAGCCAAAATAAGCTGCTGTATGACATGTATGTCCATTTCTTCGAACGTTTTGCATTTGCAGGTTGATACCATTGATAGCGTGAACGTAACATTGTAAAGTCACCTGACACAATGGAGCATAGTCAAAAGCTGCTCTTTACATGCCCAGTGAAGGCCTGCTCATAAGAGCACTGTCCCTAAGTAAAACCGTGAGTTGTGCAAGGTTGCCTAAGCGGGGGCGTTGCACGTTCGCGCATTAGGCTATCGCACCAAGGGTTCCCACCACCTTTATGGCTTTTGACCTTGTCAGGTTGTGTCTGCTTTGAACAGGTGTTTGTTGACAGGCGTCCTGCAACGCCCCAGTCTGGGTGTGTCGCCCAAAAACCGCGAGTGTTCGGGGGGAAGACGTTGGAGTGATGCATGGTGACATCGCAGTGTGCTTAAGCTGGAAGACTATGTTGTAGGTTTTGTCTTGTTTTTTGCTTTAACATGTTCCTTGTTGTTGCTGCTGTAGTCGGTTTTTGAGCACTTGTTGAACATACCTGCTGTCACAAAGCAAGGACCCACGGTCAATCCTGGTGTTTTGTGCAACGCTTGCTTGTCTAGGTTTTCCCGCAGTGTGCGCCTTTGTGTTCTCAGTGATGTTGTGTCAGCTGATGTTTCTTGTGCAACATTCTGCAAACATGTGTGCAAACAGCGCATAGGCCGTGCGGAAAGCTGTGTGTAAGCAAAGGCTTCACTTATGCATCCTAGTCCATGATGTCGACATTTGGTGATCTGGCAAGGAAGCAGCCTTCAACAACTCAATGAGTGAAGCTCTTCAACTTTTCCAGGGCATGTGAATCAGCATTGTCTTCGACAACCTTTCCTCCTTTCAAGCTTCTCCTTGAGATTTCTTGCAGAACAAGTTGGCCGCAAGCTGCGGTGGCGCGAACATACCAAACCACGGCAGCATAAAGGACCTTTGGTGCAAGTGCAGCGTAAACTCTTATCAAGAAAAACCGGTTGCGCGTAAGAGTCCAAACTTTGACCATGTGCTCCCACAGCGTAAGAGTCAGCGTAGGCATACCCTTTACGAGCAAGAATTTAGTCAGGCGTTTTTGGCCCCTCAATTTGTGATCACTTGGTGGATGCATAAGGGCCAAGCAGGCGTGGCGGTGCCATCTTGGGTCCGGGACTTGGACGCATACCTATTTTTTACCTTTTTTGTTCAATGAAGAAAGTATGAAACAGTTGAACGTGCTTTTAAAACGTCGCAGGCACACATGCCCCAGCCTTGCATGCAAAGGCGGGCCGAAGGTTGACACATGTGCATTTTTCGTTTTTCACCAGGGACGCCACAATGTCTGGTGCTGTCAACTTCCTGTGATCATCCCAGCTGGTTGCTAGCTGCAAACGCGAAGATTCCATCACTTTGCTACTAGCCTTTTCAGGAGCTTTCCATCATCGCTTCCACGATACCGCTAGCTGGCAAAAAAGGGCTGGCTGACTCGAAAGGTCTTGAACACTACACTACATGAAGTTCCGAAGACCTCAACTTGCATCAATTTATGCAGAAGAAGGAAGATGAATCGGTGAACACATCTTTTTTTTGGTGGGGGGTGGATGCGCCGCTAGGCTAAGAGCGGGTGTCCAAAAGATACTTGCAAGCTGGTCAGTGTCCAGATGATAATTGAATCCTTCCCTTCCTTGGCTCACGCTTCGCTTGCGCTCCGCTTGCGCTTCGCTTGCGACTTTTGGCGTCGTGAGAACGTCTTCAAAGGCTCCCACACACTAACCATTGGGCTGGCTTATCAGCTTAAGTGCTGGCACATCAGCTTAAACATTCAAAGACCTAGCAGACCTAGCACTGATGTGGTGCTCCATTTGCCTTCACAGAGCGCGAAAGCGGGGAGGAAGATCCAGATCTGACAAAAGGAGTTGTATGTCCGTTTGAACGAGCCTATTATGTCGAGTTTTCAATCATTGTAGGCAAATGTAAGTGTACGGTAGGCTGGCAGCAAGCGGGACAAGAAAGAAAGAGATACAGTAGATTGCGTGCCAATCTAGCATTTCCGACGATGGCTTCCTGCTTTGATGGATGCACTTGACGATCTTCCAGAGGCAGGGACACTGCAGTTTTGCTTGGGCTTGACCGGCTCAATGTTCTTGGTGCTTTGGGAAAAAGCACAAGCATGTGTTAAATTGTGCTCGTTGAGAGGTGTTACATTCAAATTTGGTGATTTTCCAAAAGTCTTGCTGTTGAAGCATGTCAGGGGATGGGTGCTGGGCAATCTGTGGCCGAGGAAGGAGCCGCTTGTCTCACATGTCGGTCCGACAACCATCGACAGTTCGGCTGGGGCCATCCATCGACAGTCTACACCTTTTCTGTTTTAAGAATCCATCCGACAGTCTTCACCTGTACGGTTCGTTTCGATTCTGCCAACGGTCGACCGTTCGTTTCGAGCCTGCTCGTGCTCCGCACGGTCGAATGGGGTGAAAGGTCGACCCGAAATCCGACGGTTCCGATGGTTAGCGTTCGACGGCCTTGGTCCATCTTCCATGGTTTGTGTTTCTTTTCAGCCAGCTTTGCTGGCAGAGGAAGCGTCTCTTCATCTTGGTGTTTTTTGGAGTTGATGTTCTGGAGCTATTTGTTCTGCGCGCTGGGGCAGACATGGGTTGTTTCACGATTCATTTTAGACCTTTCGAAGGGTGAAATATCGCTCCCCTGTAGAAAAGAATGTGCGTGCACCTTCACCACGCCTTGACTTTGATCAGGTCCCTCCAACGAGTCAAGGCTCTGAAGAAGCTGCAGCATCTGCCTTAGCTGCAGCAACACCCAAGATCTAGCTTTACATTGTAAAACAATCAGATTCTATCCCAGTAGGTGGGTATTATTTGAAGCAAAAAACGGAAAGTGTTTTGAGCATGCTTGCCTCAGAGTTCCACAGAAAATGACAGCGCCAGGCGCTTGGTCCGCAACTCTCATCCCCGAAGACCAACGAAGAGAGTTCTGTTCATCGGCATGAAGTCGAGGACAGGATGGTTTTTCGATTTCATCGGCTTGAGCCTTGTTCATAGGCATGTTTGTAGGATAGGCTTTTTTGGTTTGGCATCTCTCACATAGGTGGAGAGACATAGGTTTGGCTGTTGCTGCAGTGAAGATTTCTATTGCTGACGATCCTTTTGAAGTGCATGCTCTGCCGCACGGTTCCATTTCTTATGAAACAAGAACAGCAAATGTGCCCAAAATCGGACGTGGCAATTTCCCTACCAGCTGTGATTTTGCTGTGTGCCTGAGCGAACGTCAAATTTAACATACTTGGATCATGGCAAGGACGGGAACCAGCACTCGCTGCTCTAGTGTTCTAGTTCTAGCTCTTTCGAAACAGCGCGCAGCACAGGCTGCCAACGAAGCAGAAACAGCTGAAGTTGCAGAAGCGGCTGAAGCAACAGAAGCTGATGCAGAGGAGAGTTTTCAGCGTGATTCTTGTACAGACTTTTCACTAAAAACTCTTGTATCTCTTGTCAGCTATTCCGGGCGGTATTGTTCCTGCTTTGGGGTAGAGCGGGTCGCCTAGACTCTGCGCAGGGAGACGAGCACCTTCCTGATTCCCCAAATGTAAAACTCTACAGCGATATGACACAATAGGACTTCCACGGAATGA